GGGCAAAGGGGAGGGAGGGGAAGGGAGAGGGCGTTGGAGTAGGAAAGATGGTGGAATAAGATGCCCATCATCATCCTAAGTGCATGTATGAAGACACGAATGATGTGACACTACTTTACGTACAAAAAGAGATATGAAAAAACATGCTCTGTATGTGTACTATGAATTGAAAAGTGTTCTGCTGTCATGTATAACAAATGAGAATAAATAAATTTTAAAAAAGAAACTACATCTTTAACTTTGGTGCAAGTGGATGTTTAAAAGTGAAATTAAATGAAAGGTGCCTAAATTAATGAGTGGAGAGAAGGAAAGTCAAGTGCAAATTCTCACCTCGGAAGTTCTAAAGGGAATGAGACACGTTGTGCCACTGGAGCAGGAAAGGCTGAAGAGTGGGAAGCTCCTGTCCCGTCTTCAACAACGGAGGCTTCATTGAAAGGTAGAAGAAGAAGTCATATTATGAGAACCTGGAAATCAGGCCTGTAGTTAAGAAAATAGGAACAGAGAACAAACTTTTGAAAATTATAACAAACATTAAAAAAGAAAAATCAAGAAGACTTTAGAAGGTAAATAATGGAAAGTTCTCCCAGAAGAAAGAAGAGATAAATGATTAGGAAATATGTGAAAAAAAAATTAAAAAAGACATATTTTGGATGTTTGCTGTATAGTAAAAGTTTCATAAAGATAGAAGTTTTTAATAAAGAAACTGAAAAAAAAAATACACAGGTCTTTAGTTTGTCAACAGCTACTGACCATCCTATAAAATTAATACATGCTATTTGTTATTTTAACATCGTGTATTTCTTTCCTCTGGGGATTAATAGAAACAATAATCTAAGATTAAATGATGTGCTTTTAAAAGCAAGCTAATAAGTTGTTTAAAAGTTTTGGAATTATCTTGAAAATATATGGATTTGACCAGACCTTCAGATCTAACTGTATTAAGATTATGGGGGGAGGGAGAAAGAACGGATTAAGAAAGCTAACACGGTTGTCATCCACGACAGGAGTAGGACAGCTAATGTCGACACCTTGCCTGCAATTCTGTTTTATGATCCTCTCCCCGTCGAGCAGGTGTTCTTGTACACAAGAAAACAAATATATTAGATGCTTGTTATTTCTTTCTGAAAAGCATCATTTTGGAAGATGGGATGGGTATGACTCAATAAGAATTCACATGAATTGGACAATCACTGTGTTAATTGGTCACACAGGCTACAACAATTAATAAACTCCAATTACACCAAGATTCAAGGAGCTGGTCTATGTGAATCTTGCCCTATAATGAAGAGACAAAAGGTTTTCCTTCAAGTTTGCACATGGCGCTATGTCTTTAAGAATAATTTATCATTTTGTGAAACAACATTTTCTCATCTTTTTTATTTTTGTAACCATGTTGTTATCCATGGGACATTGGAGGTTGGTGTTGGTCTCTGGCTCCCTTAGTCTCTTAACTGTCTTGATTAAACCAGACTTGGCCCTGCTATGTAGAAATGAGACTGAGAGACAAGAAGGAAAAGATGGAGGGAAGGAGGAAGAAGAGGGAGTAAGAGGGACAGAAATTGGTTCCTTTGGGAGCATCTGAACATACTCTCTAAGAGCTAGTATTACTTACCAATTTTAACATGCAAAGCAATGCACATTTATTGTAAGTAAATTGAGCATTTGATTTGAGAAAAAAATGTTCATGTGAGATCTGAAAGCAAATTTCATTTGAGTTTGGGGAAATAAATCTAGGGCATAAGTAATTGAGTGAGCCAAGATGGAGCCTGGGGAGAAGGCGTGTGCAAAGCTTATGCCAGAGGAGGAGAGAGAGATGGCGGGAGGAAGGTTAGCTCGATTATCTCTTCCGTTCAGGCAGAGGTATGGTTAAAACTTATCTTGATAATTTTGTCCCAACCCAAAGAAAAAGAAAAGTCATTTTTGTTCTGTGTTTCAATATTCACTGCTCAGAAAGGTGAAAGACCATAGCTTTGGGAATCCAATGTGTGGGCACAGAAGGTGATGGGCATCCCAGGGACAAGATGGAGGTGCTGATAAAATTGGGATATGAAACAACTGGGAGGTCCTAAGTTACCTATCAGCTTCTGGTTCACATTTTTCAAGGTTCTGTTGAAAATTCTCAGAGTAGCATCGTGTCCCAACACAAAGACCATTCTCAATTTGTTTCCACCCCTCAAATCTGATTCCTGATTATTTGTAGCGCATAAATAGGAGACACCATAAATTACCAATTTCAGGACTTTCCCCAACAGATGTGGTAATTTCACTGAGGGTAGGCAAGCAAATGAAACTCCTGAGTCTTTCAGTTTAAGTCTGAGCTTGAGGAATTCCCTGGGAATTCCTTCCCTGGATCTCCATCTCCCCATCAGACAGAGCTCTTATACCCTCCTCCCTGTTCCAACAGTCCCTACCCTCTGACCTATTGGGTCATATTACATCACTTATCTTTGTTCTCCTCTGCTAGATTGTGGGTTAGATGGGGCTGGAGCCACGGCCTGCCTATGTGCTGCTCAGTGATAACATCAGTGCCTGGCATGGAGCACAGTCTTTTTGGATAAATGTATAAGTGAATAAGGTTTATTTCTTCATTCAAGTAGCCTATTTGTTAGGTCCACCCATTCCTGCCAACATGGTGGAAAGATGGCCCCTGGGTCAATAATATGTTGTTAGGAAAGAGGTGCCAATATGTCCTTTAGAGTCTGTTCATGCAAATATCTTCGTTTCCTTGAGAAGTTTTGCCACACCCCAGCAGAACAGCACAGGTGATCGGGATGTCATGGGTAGTCTCTTGCAGTGTATTAAAAGCCACTCAAGGTTATGCCTATAATTAACCTGAAATATAAGAAATACAGACCTTTTGTGAACTCCCCCTACTCCGTCTTCTCTGGTGTGGCTAGGTCTAGTATAGAATGAGTGCGTTGGTTTGGCTCTACCCTCCTAATGTCGGCATGTGGCTTAGTCCCACACTATTTAGACTGGCTCACGGGACTTTTAAATCAAGTTCATTTATCCCAGAGTTTCCATTGGCACCGTCTCACCATGGCAAAGCTCTGAACAGCACAGTCTAATGGTTTAGGAGGCCGAGGAGTCTTCAGTGTGACAACTAAGCATGGGTCACAGGAGTTAGAACTCCACCTGTCCAGCAGGTGGTTTCCAAGACTACCTGCTGCGGACAATTATATAAACACGGTCCAAAAGACAAGAAGAGAGACACAGAGCAGACAGTGAAGTTAGAGAGACAGATCTGAAGATTCAGACGCACACACGGCTCAGGCCTTGAACCTGCACATGAAACCGAGTGTGCACTACACAGGGAAGACGGCCTTTTCGAAGGTGTAACTAGAGGACTTCCGACAGAGACACAGCTGGAGAAAACTCCCCCCCAAGAGCCACGCCTCTTTCTGTTCTACAATTCTCTTGCACCTTCTCAACTCCCACTAAAATATTTCCTTTTTAGGTTCTATAAATCCTAGGAGAATTCTGATCCAGAAATGTCAAATTTCCTCACTTTGTTTATTTCTTCCTCACCAGAATTTTCAAGTTTCTTTCCATTCTAAGAAGACCCACCCCATGGGTCATGATCAGCCGGGAAACTTATCTGTTTGACAAATGGCTGGGGCTGGAGATAGTCATCGGTGTTTGGAGCTGAGCTGTTTTAACTGCCTCTCAAGGCCACGAGTCAGAGGAAGTCCACCCTGCCTCCATGTGACAACGCACATATGTGTTTGATCGTTTCCTGGGAAGCTTAGTTCATGAAAAAATGGACCCAGAAAATACGAGCAGAGCAGATCTGGCTCTTCCAAACCCACAGGGGCCTTCCAGGTAAGCAAAGGTTATTATTCCTTTCTGGTATCACTCATTGGGTGAGAGAAGGTCACTGTGCCGGCAGATGGAAGCTATTTCCTGGGCTCATGCATGGATTCACCTAGTTTGATTGACACACTGGGTTTAGGGACACTGTTTGCTTTACTTTTCCAGGGCTTCTTTTCTGATGGGTGGGTTTTCGCTCAGCTTGTGAATTGGAAGGGACGAGTTGGTTTTCTAACACAAGAGCCTCATGGTTTGGGTATAGGACAGGAGAGTTTGACGACTTATGTAGATCTCTTGCCTCTGTGCCTGACATGTGCTGGGGACAGCAGATTTACAAAATGACCTCCTCTTTGGTTGGCCTTTGTGAACCTCCAACTGTGATGTCCTGCTCTGAAGAGGAAAATAGGGATAGAGTTCCAATAAACCCTTCAAAGCCATTTTTTTTTTTGTACCAGGGATTGAACTCAGGGGTACTTAACCATGGAACCACATTCTTAGCCCTATTTTGTATTTTATTTAGAGACAGGGTCTCACTGAGTTGCTTAGTGCCTCACTTTTGCTGAAGCTGTCTTTGAACTTGGGGATCCTCTTGCCTCAGCCTCCAGAGCTGCTGGAATTACAGGTGTTTTGCCATCGTGCCCAGTCAAAGCCACTATCTTTACTGTCCTCAGTGCACAGGAAGTTTTTTTGTATGTCATGAACGAAACAACAACAACAACAAAACAAAACAAAACAAAACAAAAACAAACCATTCAGGTGCATTTCTATGGTACAAGGACTATGGAATGCAAAGTAAACATATGTGTTTGATTGTTTTCAGTTTTACTTATAAACATAGATAAATGGGAAAGAGTTTAATAGTAAACCTGGATTAAGAAGGAAACTACTTGGCATGGTTTTTGTCCTATATTATTTCATCTGATCATGCAGATAATGTTTAAGTTTTCTTGATCAGGTACTTGGATCATCTGAGCCTTCATGTTTTAATCATTACAGTGAAGATTGGTGTGAATATACTATGTATACAACCAGAGATGTGAAAAATTGTGCTCTATATAGGTAATAAGAATTGTAATGCATTCTGCTGTCATATATAAATAAAAAGTTAAACAAAAGTATTTAAAATTAAATACTAAATGACAAAATTTTAAAAATTTTCAATCGTAGGGTTGTTTTGAAAAGCACATAAATGAAACTCTGCTTTCTGTCAGTGAAAGACTTTGTACAGGGAGTTAGAGAATTTCCTGACGACCGAAGTTCTGTTAAATTTCACAGTGCGCCCGAAATCGAGGTCTTGGAAGTGTCTCCTGGTGACCTTCCCCAGCTGGGGACACCGACCGCACCCCCACCACCAAAGACATGGCTGACATTTTTGAAGAGAGAGCTGCAGTTCCTGGGGGTGAGTGGAGACGTCTCAGCAGGAGTAAGGTTTGGCTCTAGGAAAGGGAATTTGGTTCCATCGAATGATTTCTCACTGGGGTTCATGAGGAGTGAGAGGTCTTCTAAGAAATTCTGGTAGATGAAGAGTTGGAGCTAGTTGGGCCCTCTTGGAGGACAGAAGCATTCCCTCATGAGGACTTTAAATTAGGGGGACGAGAATGACCGATAGGCATGAAGGATTCACTATTATAACCGCTGTCCTTACTTGGAAAGAATAATTGCTGATGTCCACCATCAATAAAGATATGAAACATGCTTTGGCCATTCACACTGTAGGCTGCTCTTCTATGAGTTCAGCTCTTACAGTGGCCAGGGGATGACTGAAGAATCTCGCATTTGGGACTCCCTCTCAGGACCATCTAAGATTCCAAAGCAATTTCCCATATTTGATCTAATTACAAGAACATGAATCCAATTCTGGGAAAATATCTTCCAACTTCATAAAACTTCATTTTTCTCTAGGTAACACAGATTCTGATTGGTGCCATATGCCTTTGTTGTGGAATAATTGTCTGCTCTGTGCTTGAAATGTCAGACTTTGATGAAGAAATATTTTCATCAATTAAAGCAGGCTACCCATTTTGGGGAGCAGTACTTGTGAGTATCTATTTATAATTGTTACTGAAATAACTATTTTAAAATGACAATTAAATTAAATAACAATTATTAAATAACAATTGAACAGATTTTATTTTCTTTATAACTACTTACTTATCTGCATTATTAATATAATATAATTATTCACATGTATGTGCACTATAGATACATGTATTTGCAGTTTTCAAAGCACTTTTTCGTATAGTGCTCACTAACTATGACAATAAAGGAACCTTATTACATTTAACTGTGTTCTAAACCTTTAACATACTTTTATCAGATCAGAACCTAATAAAAGTTAAATAACTTTGTCCAGGGACTTTTAGTTAATAGAAATTGAACCCAAACTTCCAAAATTCAATTCCTGGAAAATACCCCTAACACTATTCATCAATAAGATATTACAATGGCTACATATAATCTTATCTGTCCATTTAAAAAATAATGTAAAAAGTTATCTTTATGAAGGTGGTGGTGGGTGGGGGGGGGAGATTGCGGAAGAGTAAGAAGATTAGCAGGTATCTGATGAACTTCTACTACGCCCTAGGAATCCTTTTGGGCACTTTATCATTGTATTTCTTTTAATCAGTAGATTGTCCATAAAATGGGTGGTTGGATGAGATCACAAGGATATATAAATTGATCCAGGTATAATTGATGAACAATAGATTGAACATATTTAGAATTTGATGTTTGACTCATAGATACACATTAAAATGTCAGCACTTTAAAAAAATGTCAGCACATGAATATAATGAGCACATCTATCATTTCCAAAAGTTTCCTTGGGCTTCTCTAGAACCCCTCCCTGCCTGCCTTTATTCTCTCTCCACCCTCCCTCAAGGACTCACTGATCTTTCTATACCTGTAACTAAATTGGCACCTTCTAGCGTTTTATGTAACTGAAATCATACAGTATGTTCTCTTTTCTATCTTCCTTCACTTCACATAATTATTGTGCAATTATTTATGGTTTTTTTGGCATCAACACCAGAATGTGTTGGTATGTTCATAAGGATATATGTTAACCCTAAAAAATATCACATTGGCTTGACACTCTGCTAATCCACAGTACTCAGATCCTTGTTCAAGAATCACCTTGAACCTCTCCCATATATTATTTGAAATTTCTCTCTACTGTCTTTGCATTGCAAACATTTAGCTCATTAAGTTCCGGCCAACCCATAGACAATCTGAGAGCTTCTAGAGACTGTCTTGAATTTGTGCTCTCCGTTTATGTTTTTGCCAATCCTTTCCTCATGCACATTTCATAGTCATTATGAGCCTGGTGGATGCACACCAGACTCTGGAGCCAGAGGTGCCACAGATGCATGGGAGCTGTCAGTGCAACACAGAGAATGTACACACACAAAAATTGCAATAAAATGAGGATCGTGTTTATAACAGCTCTCATGCATCAGATTGCTGCTGCTCTAAGAGTGACCCATGAACTGTCAAAGTCAACCTTACCTGGAAGCCAGGTAAAAATGAAGAGTCTCAGGCTGCACCAGGGACCTAACAAATAGGAACCTATATTATGCCAAGACACACAGGATTCATATACATGTTTAACTTTGAGAAGCACTTTATAGGAAATAAGAATAAAGAAATATTGGTCTCAAGTGGAACATGAAGAGGTAGCTTTATAGAGTACTCAAGACTTTACTTTAGAGATGGGAGGAAAGGGACAGTGTAGAGAGCAGAGACTCATGTTTTTATTTGCCTTTTCCTTTTGGACAGTTTGCTATCTCTGGACTCTTATCAATTATGTCTGAAAAGAAAAATGGAATTCATCTGGTGAGTTGCAACCCTGTCTTTATTAATCCCTGGGAAGATAAGAAAAATGGAATTGTAGGATCTTGAGGGAGATACATCTTCAGCTGCAGTCTTTAAAAAATTTTTAATTGATTTTTTAAAAAATAAATGACAACATTACGATTCTTGTTACACATATACAGCACAATTTTCATATCTCTGGTTGTATATAAATTATGTTCACACCAATTCGTGTCTCATACATGTACTTTTTGGATAATGATATACATCACATTCCACCATCCTTGCTAACCCCCTGCCCCTCCCTTCCCTACCCCCATCCCTACCCTATCTGTAGTCTGTCTATTCCTCCCATGCTCCCCTTGTCTACCCCACTATGAATTAGCCTTCTTATATCAGAGAAAACATTCGGCATTTGTTTTTTTGAGATTGGTTAACTTCACTTAGCATTATCTTCTCCAACTCCATCCATGATTTTATTCCCTTTTATTATTGAGTAATATTCCATTGTGTATATATGCCACATTTTTTAAATCCATTCATCTACTGAAGGGCATCTAGATTGGTTCTACAGTTTAGCTACTGTAAATTGTGCTGCTATAAACATTGATGTGGCTGTGTCCCTGTAGTATGTTGTTTTAAAATCCTGACTATAGACCAAAGAGAGGGATAGCTGGGTCAAATGGTGGTTCCATTCCCAGTTTTTCAAGAAATCTCCATACTGCTTTCCATATTGGCTGTACAAATTTGCAGCCCCACCAGCAATGTATGAGTGTGCCTTTCCCCCCATATCCTCACCAACACTTGTTGTTGTTTTTATGCATAATAACTGCCATTCTCACTGGAGTGAGATGAAATCTTAGCGAAGTTTTGATTTGCATTTCTCTAATTGCTAGTGATGATGAACATTGTTTCATAGATTTATTGATTGATTGCATATCCTTTTCTGAGAAGTGACTGTTCAGGTCCTTGGCCCATTTATTGATTGAGTTTTTTTTTTTTTTTTTTTTTTTTGGTGCTTATTCAGCTACAGTCTTATAGTGAGTGTGGCTATGTGATTTTTTTTTTCCCAGTCTATTTTGTGTTGGAAAGCTTTTTGTAACAAACATTGGATATAATGATTGGAAACATACAGGGAAGTCTAATTGCCTTGACATTGGTTGTTTTTTTTTAAGTCCTACATACTATATATTATAAATATTTAAGCATAGTCATATGATCAAATAGATAATTAGCTTCTAATTAAGGGGACTCTTTGAGGATAGGCCATGTGCCTTCATGCCTTCGTGTTTCTTTATTTGTTGTGCTGAGGATTGAACCCGGCTGGGCCTTGTGCTCCACCACTGAGCTCCATCCCTACCCCTTGTGCTGCTCCTGTTGAAGGCAGTGCCAGCAAGAAAGTAATAGCTGCTTATTAAGCAATGGTGACATTTCTAAGATTTCCCGCTTTAACTGAGACTTTGAACCAAGCAGAGTTTACTGGATGCAACCAGCTCTGAATTGCAGGTCAGTGCGTTGAACGTGCTGGCAGGTGCAGGCCCAGGATTGAATGGCCTCTCGGTCCCCAGGTGCGAGGACGACTGGGAGCAAACACGGTCAGCAGCATAGCCGGGGGAGTGGGCATTGTCATCCTGATCCTCAACCTGGGCAACAACTGGGTTTATATCAGCCAGTGTGAGAACCTTCATGAGGATGACGGCTGCTTCGTGGCTTCTTTCACCACTGTAAGTATTTCTTGGGAAAAGTCTGAGATTCGAGGTGCCCATCCTAGCAGGAAACCTCTTCTCCTTTCCCGTGAACACAGTCCTTTTTGGGGGAACCTCTGTCTCAGGAGGGAATGTTCTGCAGGCACTTGCAGTCCAAGGAGAGGCTGCCTGCCCCTCTCCCCACCCCTGGCCAGATTCCTCAAGGTCGAAACTGTCTGCCTCCTGGTTTTCCCACGTATGTGTCACTTTGCAAGAGATGATTATGTCCCGGGAGGTGAAAGAGAGGGGTTGCTATGAGGGAATGAACTCTTGGGACACCTGTCACATGACCATCTTTTGGGCTGTTGTTCAACAGGAAATTGTGGCAATGATGCTGTTTCTCACCATCCTGGGGTTGTGCAGTACGGTGTCACTCACAATCTATGGGATTGGAGAAGAATTCAAAAGAAATAAGGTACGTAGAAGCTTAACATGAAATCCTGGACAACAAGCTAAGTAATTTGATTTATCCCTTAAAAATAGGCGCTGAGTATTTTTTTTGGGGGGGGGTGAGGGGGAGTGGGGGTTTCCAGATTGTTTTTCCAAATTTCACTGATTTTTGTTTTCAAACATTATGTTTTAAATCTCATTTTACACTCAGAACTAGCAAATATCTTATAAAATAGGACTTGGGAAATAGGATTTTTATAATTTTAGAAATTTTAGCTACCTCAAATGTGTTGAGCATGACAGATGGATGTGCAGACAGCACGTCTTAATTTTTGTTCTAGAAGAAAATCCTTAGAGTTGTCCCTGCTTTTTCTCTTTTTTCTTAACTTTCCCCCTTTCACTGCTCCAGAGCCTCACGTTTTATGTCCTAATTCATGATTTCACCTGCACTACTGCTTGACTCACCCCTCCGTGAGTTCCACCTTTGGTGGGAATCAGCCATACTGACGCACAATCAAATCTGCCAGAGGAAGCGTTCTGTGCGTCCACCTTCCTGATGCATTCAAGTCTGGCCACCTTTTAACATCACTTTACCCCAAAGACAGATAGGACGGAGGTGTACCAGAGCTCAGACACGGCAATAATCTCACAGACTTGTTGTTGACCCACATGATTTCTTTTGGGTCCAGTTGGGCAGCCAATGTGGTGTGGTTTTCTGGAAAGGGGGGGAATAGTTAGAATGGAAAGAGAGAGAAGAAGGAAGAGAAGGAGAAGAGGAGGAAGAGGACAGAAGAGGAGGGGAGAGAAGAAGGAGGAGGAGGAGGAGGAGGAGGAGGAGGGGAAGGGAGATTTGGGAGGACAGGAGGAGTGGAGGTGAGCCTTTAGAATAGGGCTTCTAGAAATGGACAGTTCTTAGTGATTGATTTGCAATGATTTTTCCCTTTTCAGATTCCAGATGATCGTCTCTATGAAGAATTAAACATTTATTCACCAATTTACAGTGAGTTGGAAGAAAAAATAGAAACATCTTCTCCCACGAGTTCCTAAGAGTCATATGCCCAGAATGTTTTGATTTACAGAGTCCAGAAAGCCAAAACCTTTAAAAGGCAAAATTACTATTCTCAGCATAGTCTTTCTAACATTTTGTGTTAGATTTGTCCTTCAAATAGCAATATTTTGTTTTTATTATTTCCAATCAACTAAATACCATCATCCCCCATTTGTAGATACTTTTTAAATTTTGTGTCTTGATCTCCAAGTGATCACTCTGAGAAGCCAACATGAAATCCCTAGACTTTTACTGTTTAACTCTGCAAAGATGGAAAAAGAGGAGGCTGGACTGAGAGTTGAGCTACACTTTGACAGTTTGATGATATTTAGTTCTTAGTTATTTTTAGAGTTCCTTATAGCTATAGTTATGTATGATATGCACCTGTCCACCTGTATGCACACCCATATACATATATGACTTACATAATATGCAGTTTTCTATATCTAAATATACTACACTCCCTCAATGACAATACATTTTTGAAAAAACACTAGTTTTATAACAGTATATTGCCTGAATCACCAGTTCATTCACTGATACAGTGTAGTTCAACAGTGTTTGGTGAAGAGGTAGTGGGGAGTTTATTCAGCTACCGGTATCTGGTGAGATGGACAGGTAAAAACAGGAAACCTGAAAGTGGAAAGAACATTGAGTAAGGCATTTGTGATGAAGGAAGAATAATGAAGGTGTGAATTGAAATGAGTGGTCATGGAGAGAAGTGATCATACCTAAAACAAGTAGCAAAAGGTCTACCCAAATAAACTAGTAGGTCTTACTAACAAGTTAAAGAATAAAGTTAAGCAAGCAAGGGTTTGACTAATACATCAAGTGTTTGAGTCTAAGATGAAAGGAGAACACCTAGTCATTTTGGAAAAAATAATAGTTCAGAAATATGAGGTTTGAAAGAGGCTCACAGATAGCTGAGGTGAAGCTCAGTTTAGACTTTCATCTTGAGGGAAGTGCAGTGGAAAGGCTTGATGGCGTCCAACACAATTGGGTGACAGAGGTTTAGTTTAATTACAAGGGAGTTCGTTATTAGGTTAATACTCTTAAGAGTTATTCTGAGATGAAGGAAAGCCAAGTTAAACTTCATATGCTTATAATATGAGGGAAAAAATAAGGATAAAATCTAGAAGGCGTAAGAATTAGTTAAAAAAAAAAAGTGCCTGAGAAACAGAGGATATCAGGTATTCCAATGTAGAAAAAACTGAACCAAAGAGAAAATAACTCACACTTAGAATAAGGGAAACATGTAAGCTTGGGAGAAGTTCACAGTGACATATAGACTCCAGGTATGCAAAGAGATGGGGCAGAGAAAATAGCAAAATAAATGAATGCAAAAGACACAGAGGCATTCCATCTAGGGATGTGAAGAGCAGAGGGGTGGAACATTTGTAAAGGTGTTTGGAGAGAGAGGCCGTGAGGTGTGTGTGGGGGTATTAAGCATTAAGTGGGGAACTAAGTAGAAGAGAGTAAAGAAAAATTAAGCTAGGCACATGGTTTTGTTGCTGTTTTTATTTCTAAAAGAAGGAAAGAGTCAGTCCTGTCTGAAGCCTAAGTGGAGGAGCCCTGTGAGTCACTGAGAAGTCAGTCTCTTTTGCCACACACCCACCAGGGGCATACGGCTGGCAGGCTCCTCACATTGCCATTGCCCCAATGATCATTCTAAACTTCAACAACTTCTCTGTAAAGATTCCCTAATACGCATCTCTTCGTCTAGCCTTTAGTCTTTGCTCCATAACCACCGTCCCTCTTATTGAAGCATAGTATGATGAATTATTAGCGTACTCATGATCTCCTTATGTAGCCTCAACTGCTGGTAATTGTACAATAAATTGAAGTTACCTAACTTGATTTCTTGTCTTTGTACTTGCCTGTGAAATTGAGAGACCAGTGAAGAATCAAGAATCAGTTGAATGAAGCCAAGGGCAAAGAATAGTGTCTGGAGTACTCTTTATCAACCCTTTCTTAGATAAGATGATCTATAAACAACTTCAGAGATAGAAAACAGCCACCTCTGGTTTATAAAGAGTGGGATAAGGCTGAAAGGAAAGTGGAACGTACGTCACATTTTATTAGTTAATCCTGACAATTATATTTGCTGTGCTATGTGAACCTGGGAAAGTGCTGTATATTTGTGAACCTGTTTCTCTAGAGAGATAATAAATAGGGGATGATAGATACATAGATAGATAGACAGACAGACAGATGATAGACATCTGAGGGGATTAATTAGGGGAACTGGCTCACATAATTATGGGGTCTGAGAAGTTCCATGCCTCCAAGAGGCTGTCAGCAATAGGGAGGCTCTGAGATGCCAATGTGTGGCTCAGCCGCAGTCTGAAAGCCCCAGAACCAAGAAGCCTGATGGTATAATTTTGTCCAGGGCCAAAGGCCTGAGAGTCGGAGGTGGGGCACTGGTGTGAGTCCTGGATTCCCTAAGCCATTGAGTCCCTTCCTCTAGGTTAACCCCAGGGAGTTCGGGTGTTCCCAACTTCCTCGTGGTGAACCACCTTTTCACCAAAACAACTTGGCACCTTTCTTCCTGAGCTACAACCTCTAAAGCAGAATCTCTGCTTAGAGGCCCATATCAGTAGATTCAGCCGAATCCACCCGCATCTTCCCCACCCTTAATATCCATTCCTGCACATGCGCCCCCGATTTCTGTTTGTGTTAATTAAACATGAGAAAACTCATAGTTATTTTCCTTTCTCTAGTTATCAATACACTACGATCAACATTCAGTTGATTGTCTTTTTTTTTTTTTTTTTTTTTTTTGGGATTTTACTTCTTTTTTTAAACTTCACACTCTTTTTTTAAGAAGACAATTTCATTTCCTTTTGCTGCCACACGGGTTCTTCATTCCGAGAAGCACGTCTGTGGCTTTATCTCTAGATTTACTTCTAAAATTCCCTAAATATGCCACTCATTTCGTAGATAGTTGTTACATGCTGGCATGCGCCCTCCTTCTCAAGGTTAGGTTAGGTCTGTAAGATGGTATCTATCTCCCCCTCTGAGGAGCTTATAATCCAAAAGAGACTCCAAAACACAACACTGAGGAAAAGGGTGGCGCGTTTTAGTGTGTAGAGAGCGTGGCCTTGGAATTCAGCCCTCGGAGTCCCAAATGCTCCTGGATGTCTTCATAGGAGCCAGAGTCATTGAGATGACGTGAAGTGACTTGGCCAGGAAAGCAGGGGACTCAGGAGGGAGGATCAGCCAGTGTTCCTTCCAGGCAGACCGTTGCCCAGGCTGCAGCCCCTTCCTTCCTCCTCCCCTGCCGTGGGCTGCCTTGAGGGTTCCCACAGGCGTTGACACATCTCTCTGAATTTAAGGCAGGCCACACAGAGTTTGCCGATGGCAGTCTGCACTGGGGAGCAAGTCCTTCCTTGAAGGCAGACCTGGGCAGGACATTTCCACACTCACCTGGAAACCTCTGCTGAGAGGGAGACAGGCCAGGGCAGGGGGCACGGGGGGGGGGGGCTGAGGCTTGACCCCAGGGGGAGCAGTGAAGACTGCATCTTCCATTTGTCATTCGTCTCGGCTGTTGCATACCAGCTCTGATCTTGAACTCGATTTTGAATTTAAAAATCAGCAGCTGACACAGGGCTTGGGATTGTGCTCTCAGTATCCTCATTTCGGAGACCAATAGAAAGCTGAGGAATTTAACTCCAAGAAGAGGAGAGTCTCATAGGGCTGTTCCTTGAAAACTCAATGTAATTATTTTTTTTTCTTTTTAGTGGCTACTCACTGTCTTGAAGAATATGTGTCTTAAAGTTCCCCATTGCAGTTTTTCCCTCTTTATATCACGTGAGAGGGGCTGAGTATGAAATTGGGGCATGGTACCATTCTGTCTTTGCATTGCTAGTATGCCCCTCCAAAATCCTGGAACCGACTGTTCTTACCACATAGAGACATACTGGCAACGTGTTATTATTAAAGGTCTAACGTAGATAGACCTTTTAAGATATGCTCTTCAACTTTTGAAGAGTGGTTTTGCAGAATCTAGAATCCAGGATTCACAGTTTTCCTCTGGGCACTTTAAAGTCACATTCTACAGTTTTCTTGCATGCTTGAATTGTGAAAAGAATTCTTATTCTTGCTCCTTTTTTTGATAATGTGTCTTTTTTTTTCCACTGTCTACCTTGAAGGTGTTTTCTTTGTACTTGCTTTTAATAATATGAATGTTACATGCCTAGTATTTGGTGGTGTGGGATTGGTAATATTTAAAGGATGAGATATTTAAACTTCTATAATCTGTGGGTAAGCATCTGTCATTTATCCTGGAATATTCTTGTCAGTAACTCTTCAAACATTTATTCGGCCAATTCTCTTTCTTCTTCCCCTGGAATTCCATTATATCTATGTTAGTCACTCTGGTGGCTCTGCTGCTTTTAGGTGTTAATATCCTGGGGCGTACAAGGTGGAGTGTACATGGTACAGCAAAGCTCATGAGGGCCAGAGAGCAGAGGGAGAGGGAGAGGAAGAGGAAGGAGAAGAGAGAAAGATAAATATAGAGAAAGGGAAGGGTCAGGGGTAAATAAACCCTTCAAGGGCATGCCCCCAGTGACACAGTGACATACTTCCTCCAACAAGCCCCACCTCCTGTTACCACCACCTCCCAGTGGCATCACCAGCTGGGAACAAGCCTTGGATGCCTGAATCTTTGGGGGACATCCCCAATACAAATGCTAAGAGATACTCTATTTTCCCTACTGTTTTACTTTTTCTCTTTGTGTTTCAGTTGGGATAATTTCTACCTTAAAGCCACATGTAATTCTTTCTGCTGCTGCTGCATCCAATCTTTTGATGAGTTAGTCGATGGCATTATTTATCTGTTACTGACTTTTCATTTTTATTGTTTCCATTGGAGAGCTTTTCCTAGTTTCCTAAGCTTTGCTTAACAATAGCTTTCTCATCTTGCATGTTTTCTATGTTTCCCATTAGATCCTTCAATATATTTTTCATAGTTTTCTTTTTTCGTTCACCATCTGATTAGTTACAGTTTCTATGTCATATCTGAGTCTGATTTCCACTGCTGCTTTAGAATGTCTTTGTAATTCTGCCTATCTAGGAACCAGGGAGATCTTTCCATATAAGTTCTTCAAGACCTTAGAAAGTGGAAAGATCTCCCTTGTTCCTGGATAGGCAGAATTAATATTGTCAAATGACCATACTACCAAAAGCACTATACAGGTTTAATGCAATTCCAATAAAAATCCCAGTGACATTCCTCTTAGAAATAGAAAAAGCAGTCATGAAATTCAACTGGAAAAAGAAGAGACCCAGAATAGCTAAAGCAATCCTTAGCAAGAAGAGTAAAGCAGGTGGCATCGCTGTACCAGACCTTAAACTATACTACAGAGCAATAGTAACAAAAACAGCATGGTTCTGGCATCAAAATAGAGTGATAGACCAATGGTGCAGAATGGAGGACACAGAGACTAACCTACAAAATTACAGTTATCTTAGACAAAGGAGAAAAGATAGCCTATTCAACAAATGGTGCTGGGAAAACTGGAAATCTATATGCAACAAAATGCACAAAAACTCAAGGATTAAGGACCCAGGAATTAAACCAGAGACCCTACATATAACAGAAGAAAAAGTAAGTCCAAATCTCCATCATGTCAGATTAGGCCCCACTTCCTTAATAAGACTCCTATAGCACAAGAATTAAAATCAAGAATTAATAAATGGGATGGATTCAAACTAAAAAGCTTCTTCTGAGCAAATTTTACCACTTGTACCTAAGATAGAGCACTAATCTCTAGGATATATAAAGAATTAAAAAAGCTAAACTCCACCCCCCACACACACAAAAAAATAACCCAATCAATCAATGGGGCAAGGAACTGAAAAGACACTCCTGAGGTGATATGTAGTTGGTCAACAAATATATGAAAAAATGTTCAACATCTCTAGCAATTAGAGAAACGCAAATCTAAACTACTCTAAGATATCATCTCACTCCAGTCAGAATGGCAGTATATGCATACAAACAATAATAAGTGTTGGGAAGGATGTGGGGGAAAAGGTGCACTCATACATTGCTGGTGGGACTGCAAAATGGTGAAAATATTACAATTTTCATAGTCTTAGACAATAAATACTAGTAAAAAATGGAAAAATGTATCAGCATTGAAATAAAGACATTTTCTGTTCATTCATGACAGTTTGGGCCAATTTGTGGTTTGCAAATATCAAAACCACAAGTACAGTTCCAGTTTCAAGGCAGGGGTGCAGAGAACATGGCTTCCACCCACCCGAGACAGAAGCTGGAGAACCCACAAATTAATAGCTATTCTTGAACCTGTGGGAGAATGAAGGTTGCAGGGAACACAGATGACCTTAAATACACAGAGAGAGAGGTTCCTGCAAGAAGAATCAGGACCCAAGTACCCAGGACGGACTGGCCCACGTCTCTGTTGGTGTTGTATAAAATGGAAAGAAGACTGAACTTGAAATTCTAACATTGTTAAAGGTGAGTGTGGGCTGACAGTCATGGAGACTGTCAGGGGCACAGGCAAATGGGGAGTCCAGACTAACAGTACCTCCCAAGACGGAGGGCTGCCAGAAAATTCAAGAATGACCTTCACCTCCTATTCTTCAACTCCAAAAAGCTTTGAGTAAAAATAAGAAGGGGGAAGCTGGGAGAGCAGACAGTCTCTCCAGCAAAGAGCAGAAAAGGAAGACCCAAAGCCAAAGAGGCAAAAGACAGAGGTGACATCAGTCTACACCACACACTCCAGGTCTCACCAGAGGGATGGGAAGGGTTCATTACAACACAAGAGACTCCATGCCCAGCCCAGCCCAAAGGTCTAGCAGAGGAGAACCCTACTCATTCCCAAGAATGAGCAATATGAATCGCAGTAGTTACAGTCCTGTGTGAAATACCCAGCTTTCCACAAAATATCACAAGGCATATTTTTAAAAAGTAAAGTAGGAAAACACTATCTACAAAGACATTCTATTTTTATTTTCTTTATTTTTTAAAATTTTTTATTCTAGTTTGACCTCCTGACTCCTTTTTCAGTTTGGTGTTATGAAGTGATTCAAAAGCAGATCTTTGCCCACGGGTCTCTCCATTACCTTGTCCTTTGACATCAGTGGCAGAGATAGGACAGTCGATTTGAAAATCCTCTTAACACTGCTCCTGGCTCATCCTGAGGCTGTCAGTACCTTCCAGGTGGACCCACCTGGCCCTTGGGACTTTCCTCATTAAGAACAGAACAAGATGTAGAAATTCTAGGGAGGGAAGCTCAGGGTTTGGGGGGATAGGAGAACCTGAGATCAGGGGAACATTTATGCAGAAACATCTGTTTGTATGACAGAAAGGGCGGCTTCTGTCAGGGGAGTCGGTATCTCCAGGATGGTTTCAACTAAGACTATGATATCAGGGAAAAACACTGCTGATAGCGTTACATGAAGTGAAGGGAAGTTAGTGCATTAGCCATTTTATGAGTGCCGTCATAGCAACTCTTCACAAACACCACTTGTACTTGGCTGTGTCTGTTTTCGTCTACATGTGTGCCCTCCCCACCCAGAACATTGGAACGTCCACCATGTGTTAAGACCTTTCCCAGAGGACAGACTTTCTTTCTCAGAAAGGGACTTCCTGACACCTTGAGTCTCATTCTCATATTCTAGGTGACCCGGATCTTGTTTGGGCTCATGAGAATAGGCTCGTGGGGAATGTGGGGGATGGCATTTCTTCATGTTTCTAGGCACAGAGAGATCTTCCCCCTTGTACACGCTCTTGTCTATTCTCTCTGGAAATTTTCCTTGTAGGCACCTGGGAATTTCCCCATTGGTCACATGGGTAGGGTCTGAAAGGATTCCTTTCAATTTACCTCTCAGGATCTTCATATCTTCCATTTTGTTTTCTCAAAGCTTTCAGAGCTTGGATTGCTGAGTTTTGCTGTGTTTTTGAAGAGGTAGGCTGTGGCTTCTATGGTGGGACTGAAATCTCTCATCTTTAAGAGAATTTTTCTTTGGCCAGTTCTTTATATTTAGAGCACTGTTCATTGATGCTGAAAGAAAATTGGCTTATTGGCCTAGAAGCATTTTCTTCTGATATAAAAACTGTAGTATATGGCCCAGTTAAGAAAATTCAATAGAGACACTGTGGAAATTTTGTAATAGATATTTCTAGTCATTTGAATAACCTTATCTCAGGGGAATACAATGAGAAATGTCCACATTAAAGCATGGTGGCTCAGTCACCTTTGAATATCATTATCCTTGGACCACTCTGACCTTAGGTTTCATTTCTGGTGTGTATGTTAATGAAAAATCCAAAAGTGTAACTGCTGACTTCAACACTACAAATGGAGGATCTCCCAGTTGCAAGTCTGAGCCCCTCAAAATATCAATTTCCATTTGTTACTCTCGAATGCTAGAGATAAAAGAACTGAGAACAGAACCCAAAGTTTCTTATCTCTTTCAAATTCAAGGGCACCAGACTATGAACATAATCAGTTTCACAGCTTAAAAAGTGGGGAGGCTTGTGCTTTGCCACCTGTGAATGAGAACTGGAGCGTTTGGAAAATAAGACTCTGTTTCATTGCAGAGGTAAAAATACACTTTGTTAAGTGGTTCTTACTTTAATAATAGCTTATATTGAACCTAGAGTATTGTCAGTAGTGTCTTTTGGATTCTGCTGAGTAGTGGTATGTAGAAACTGTTCTTTCACCTGGAAAGACAAGAATTGAGCACTTTCAATCAGGTGAAGGAATTCCAGTGTCTCTCTTGACTAATTTAGACTAAATCCTGCCATATAGCAGCCTTTCCTTTGTTAACTCTATTGATGTAAGTACTTGATTATTAACAATTCAAGACTCTTTAAGCACCTAGAACTCTCCAGCAAGATGTACTTGCCCAGCTAATAAGATGAGTGGAAGAAATTCCTCAATAGGACACCCATAGCGCAAGAGTTAACAACTAGAATTAACAAATGGGACTTACTCAAACTAAAAAGTTTTTTCTCAGCAAAAGAAACAATAAGAGAGGTAAATAGGGAGCCTACATCCTGGGAACAAATCTTTACTCCTCACACTTCAGATAGAGCCCTAATATCCAGAGTATACAAAGAACTCAAAAAATTAGACAAAAAGACAACAAATAACCCAATCAACAAATGGGCCAAGGACCTGAACAGATACTTCTCAGAGGAGGACATACAATCAATCAATAAGTACATGAAAAAATGCTCAACATCGCTAGCAGTCAGAGAAATGCAAATCAAAACTACCCTAAGATACCATCTCACTCCAGTAAGATTGGCAGCCATTATGAAGTCAAACAATAACAAGTGTTGGCGAGGATGTGGGGAAAAGGGTACACTTGTACATTGTTGGTGGGACTGCAAATTGGTGCAGCCAATTTGGAAAGCAGTATGGAGATTCCTTGGAAAGCTGGGAATGGAACCACCATTTGACCCAGCTATTCCCCTTCTCGGTCTATTCCCTAAAGACCTAATAAGAGCATGCTACAGGGATAATGCTACATCGATGTTCATAGCAGCACAATTCACGATAGCAAGATTGTGGAACCAACCTAGATGCCCTTCAATAGATGAATGGATAAAAAAATGTGGCATTTATACACAATGGAGTATTACTCTGCATTAAAAAATGACAAAATCATAGAATTTGGAGAGAAATGGATGGCATTAGAGCAGATTATGTTAAGTGAAGCTAGCCAATCCTTAAAAAACAAATGCCAAATGACTTCTTTGATATAAGGGGAGTAACTAAGGACAGAGTAGGGACAAAGAGCAGGAGAAGAAGATTAACATTAAATAGGGACGAGAGGGGGGAGGGAAAGGGAGAGAGAAGGGAAATTGCATGGAAAGGGAAGGTGATACTCAGGGTTATACAAAATTACATACAAGAGGAAGTGAGGGGTAAGGGAAGAATAATACAAGTGGAAGAAATGTTTTACAGTAGAGGGGGTTGAGAGAGAAGAGGGGAGGGGAGGGGAGGGGGGATAGTAGAGAATAGGATAGAAAGCAGAATTCATCAGACACTAGAATGGCAATATGTAAATCAATGGAAATGTAATTGATGTAACTTATGTGATTCAGCAATCTGTATATGGGGTAAAAATGGGAGTTCATAACCCTTTTGAATCAAACTGTGAAATATGATATATCAAGAAAGATGTAATGTTTTGAACGACCAACAATAAAAAAAAAAAGAATGAGTGGAAGAACAGTTGGTGTCTACTTTCACACTGAGATATACGGGGCAGGGGGTTTGAATGTTGGAATGGAGTTTAAATAATCAGAATCTCACAGACAGCTGAAGAATAGACTTAGCATCTACTTTTCTGCTTGGGTGAGAAAGAGGTGCCAATTCTAGTTGGGAGATTGGTTCCAAGTGCTGTGTCGGGATAGAGTGTGGAGCAGAGATAGAATAGGAGAAAGAGTGACATCCATATACATCTTTGAAGATCCAGAGAAAACCATCTGTGATCCATGTTAGTTCTTAGTTTTTCCTGTGTTTTATTGGTGGATAGTCAGATACGAATAACTCATTTGATCCTTGTTATGGTTTAGATGTGGTGTTCCCTGAAAGCGCACAGGTGAGACAAGGCAAGAGGGTTTGGAGGAGAAATGATTAAGCTGTAGCCTTAGATTAATCAGTGAATTACTCCCGGATGGGATTAACTAAATTGGTAGGGCGTGGCTGAAGGACATGGGAATTGGGGTGTGGCTTTGGTGGATATATTTGGAGAGAGGAGTCTCTCTCTCTGCATCTTGATCTCCATGATGTCAGCTGCGTCCTTCTGCCACATGCTTCACCATGATGTTCAGCCTCCTCTTAAGCCCCCCAAAAAGGAGCCAGGCTTCTATGGACTAAGATCTCTGAAACCGTGAGCCCTCAGATAAACTCTTCCTCCTTTATTGTTGCTCTTGTCAGATCCTTTAGTCACAGCAGCGAAAGAGCTGACTAAAACAATCCTAACAGACAGGCACCAGCTTAGAATCAGAGCCGCCCAGGACGGTGGTGGCTGCTGCGTATCCCGCAGTGCTCTGGCCTTCTGGACTCCGCTGCTCCTGGTGTTTTCCTGTTTCCCCACAGAGACGGGTGGGAGGGATCTGGCAGGTGTTTGGGACGGTCGTGCCAATCTTCTCCCTGCTGGAGATGTGGACCGCGTCAGCCTTCTCTGCTGTGGGTATGTGGCACTCTGCTTTGTCACCCGGGTGAGGGTTCTGGGTCCTTGGTCATTTAATGTTTCTCACGGGGTGGTCTATCTTTTTCTTCCTGCTCTAGTCCTTGAAAGAAGTTAAGAAAGAGAGAAAAGATATGTTTAGATATATGTTTTCACTGAATGTAAAGGAGAACCTAAGTACTGCGGGGAAGCCAATGCTCCTGCCGGGCACAGAGGTGTGGCCAGGAACCGTACAGCCACACCGCTAAGGTCCTCGGGGGAAATGGGGACTAGTAATGCTGTAGGGTCACCAGCAAGGGAGGCCTCTGGTTCTGTGGATATATGTGACCCAAGGGTTCTTCCCTCCTGATACCTTCACAGATCGGATTTTACCTGGTAACTGATGACAAAACAATTAGAAGCCACACCTATACAGGAGCACAAGGAGCTGAACTACCAAATGACCCCTGAGGTTTAGCCCTTTTATATTATTGGGTTATTCCAGCCCTTGCTTTAGGGCTTACCATATCACTGTGTCTCCAGATGAGAGCCCTCCATTTGTGTCTTTTGGAACATGGACATAGATACAGGAATTACGAACAACATAAAGGTCTTTTCATTTGAGAATTGTACTTGCTAGGTATTATGAGATATTTCATGCTCTGTTGATGCATATAACCAGAAATAGAGCATCATTATGGGAAGACAAGTCCAATTCTGAGTTGGATCGTGAGTCTGAGGCCCCATGTTTTTCCAAGTTGAAATGAATGAAGCCACATTGGAGCTTGTGTGTGTGCGCGTATGCGTGTGTGCATGTGCATGCGTGTGTGCATGTGTGTGTCTGTGTGTGTGTGTGTGTGTGTGTTTCAGTGCAGCTTGGAGGCTTCTCTGCCTCCTGGTGGAATAGAATTTATCTGCCCAACAAAGGAAATCAGTCATTTGTTGGTGAATGTTTAATCAAATTCTGCAAAGACCAATCGTTCATTTTCTCTTTTGTTGTTTCCTACGTTAATTGAAGAATTGCTCAATATCCTTTGGGAATTATTTTTGTGAGGACAGGGTTGCCTTTTCTAAATGAGGACTATTTGAGTGTGATTCCAGAAACTGTTGTGATAACGTCTTCAAATCTCTCGCCACTTGTCCCACACCTACAAGTTAAAATATTGAGTTTTTCAGTCCTAAGTTATACTTGCTTGCTGGCTTCAGATTTCATGTTGAATTTGTTGCAGTATACATTTACATCTGTTACAATAAAACATTATTACTTTCTTACCTTATATGAAGATATAATCTAGGTGCTTGGAAAGATCAAGACAAGTCAGAGGTAGGGGTTCACATGTATAATCCCAGCTGCTCAGGAGGCTGAGATAGGAGGATGGAGAGTTAAAGGCCAACCTCAGCAAATTAGTGAGGCCCTAAGCAACTTAGTGAGACCCTGACTCAACATAAAAAATAAGATGGGCTGGTGAGGTAGCAAAGGAGGGAACAGAATACTGTTCTGTCTTGGGATTCTGCTGAGAAGTAGTATGTAGAAGCTGTTCCTGGGAGAAAAAAACTAGCGTTTTTCAATCAGGTGAAGGAATTCCAATGTCTCCCTTGCCTAACTTAGGTAATACCCTGCTACAGAGACAGTATTTTCTTTGCTAACTACATTGATTTAAGCACTTTATTATCAATGATTGAGGATTCTTTAAGCCCTTAGAAATATCCATCGAGATGTCCTTGCCCAGGCTAATAACAGGATGAATGGCAGAACAGGTGGTGTCTACTTTGACACTGAGATCTATGGAGCAGGGGGTTCGAATGTTGGAATGGAGCTGAAATAATCAGAACCTCACAGACAGCTGAAGAATGTCCTTAGAATCTACTTTTCTGCTTGGCTGAGAAAGATGTGCCCACTCTAGTTGATACCAAGTGCTCTGTAGGGATAGCATTTGGAGCAGGGATAGAATAGGAGAAATTTAGAGCGACAGCAGTAATATTGGAAGAGGGAAGGTAAGAGTGTACCAGAATTATAAAAGATGTCACGGTGCAAAATTTAGAAATTTCTAGAAATCTCAAGCAACAAAAACGAAAACAAACTCACACCTAAACACTGTATATTGAAAGAAGATAATATCAAGAAAAAAAGTGATGACTTTAAATTGAGCTAAAGGTTCAGGAAATGAGCATGCTGCTGTTGCTCCTGCCTAATACAGGAAATTACAAAATCTCCATCAGTGGCCACGGCAAACCTGAAACACGGTGACAGGGACTGATAAGAAAAAAAAAATGGTTGCCGAAAACCTCATGGTTGCTGAAATTTGTATGTATTTCTTCCATGACAAGGAAAAAATATGTTTATATTATTTTGTACATATGTGGTCTTTTCCTTCTCTTTTTTTTTTCTGTCAAATGTTATTATTGTTCATAGGATTGCATAATATAAATTGCATCGAGATCCCTCGCAGAAACAAGCTTCTGAGAAACACTGACCCCAGTCTTCCATCCCCTTTCATGCACGGTAGAATACGGGATGAGGAGGGCCTAACTGCTTTCAAGGGGGAAAAAACCCCAATGTCCATATTTAAAATACTTTTGTTATATAGTTGGTATTAACCTCTATATCCATTTCATTCCATCTGCCCATGGGTTAAATTATATTTCCTTTTACCAGGAAGATGGAAACTTAGGATGCGGCAGGATTTTAGGGAGGAAGGAAGTGTCTTTCCCTGGAGATGGCTCTTCATCACAACCCTGAGGGAGCGAGTATGTGCAGAGGAAAAATCTATACGCCAGGGTTCAAGACGCCCGTATTTCATGTCTTCATAGAGACGCCAGCTCTTCTTAGAGATTTATAGTCCTCTTTAGAATGTCTGCCCGACCTTTGCGTCTCAGAGAGAGTGCACACACTCACTAAATACAAGATCATTTACTCCTGTTGAACGTTGGTTCTGTCAGTTCATGGCGATCATGCTGCAGATGATTCCATTTCCTCTGTGGGAAAAAGTGGCCTCACAGATTATTCCAGAAAGAGGAACCAACGACCCTGAAAAAAAAAACGACGTTATCTCTCTTCCTTTCTCAGTCAGAATGTGGGGTAAGAAATGTCATCTCCTCTTTCTTAGATAGTCTTCACTTCTTAAAGTTTTCCTTTATATCCTTCCTTCATGTAGGACAAGTATTTATTCTCCTGTTTTAAAGATATTCTAAATTGAATCACCAAAATGTCAAGATGAAGCAAATACCTTTTCTGGTGGGGTTCCTCCAACCAGGGAGAATTTCTCTTGGAGGTGTCTGTTTAAAGAGCCTCATAAAGTTACTCCCTGCGGTGATCCCATTGTATCCAGAGACCACAAGTAGGCTACCTGGAGCACTTAATATGAGTTATTAACAACATAAAAGAGAATCTATAAGATACTAGGAAATCCTTTATGGCATCCTAGGGCTGAATTTGTCCTTTCTTGAGGATCCTGTGCCCAGAATGGGTTCCGACTTTACTGGAGAGAGCGTGGTTTCAATACCTGATAGAAGAAAAGGCTGTTGGTTTAGTTGGGGTGGAACTGGTCTGCAGTTGCTGGACGAGTAATTCACAGTCCTCCGGAATGTAGATGGGAGCAGGTGCTCAGTGCTGTAGGTGTACAGTGAGTCTCTGGTGTAGGTGGGGTAGAAGGTCTTCAGGGTGCATGAAGCTTGAAGGAAGAACGACTCTGCAGACATGTGAGGCTGTGTGCAGGTTGTCAGGATTGCCAATGGAATTAGCAGGCAACTGGCCAGACTGAGGGTGCACCGTTGCAATGATCCATGTTCTGGGCCTGTGGTTCCTGCTGGAAATTGCAGGATACCTCTCACTCCTGCATGCACCCTCTACTAGAAAACAATATCCTGTTCCCTCTAGTGATTTATTTACACTGCTAGAGATTGAGCCCCTGGGTGTGCTTTACCACTGTGCGACATCCCCAGCCCTTTATTTTGAGATAGGGTCTCTGGAAGTTGTCCAGGCCAGCCTCAAACTTGCAATCCTCCTACCTCAGCCTCCCGAGATGCTGGGATTACAGGTGTGTGTCCCCATGCCTGACCATCCTGTTCACTTTCAGGGAGAAATTTGTAATCATGTGTAATTATGTTGTTTTCCAAGAGGTGCTCTGAGGGCTGAGAAACAATCAGTTGTGACTGACACTTTCAAAGCAGCCACATGGAGCGTGGAAATGAAAAGGCATCTGCGTAAGATGCCAGAGGGATTCTCCAGTTGTGGTACTTTCCCTGCACTACTGTCCAAAATGCTGCAAACAGACTAATGCTTTCAGGTTTCCCTAGTTTTGCAAGTGGGAAGAATGATTTTTAGTCCAAACGAATGTGACTTCTTTCACAACATGAATGGAAGTGTAGAAGGAGTATTAACATTTGGAAAAAAGATAAACTGAAATTCTATTTCTAAGAAACACACTTTCTATTTCTTTGACCTCAATCTCATGTTTTCTAAACATAAAAAAATAATACTTGCCTCTTGGACCTCTCGGAGCACTGGATGAGATAATGCATCTAAAAAGTAACCAAATAGCAAATAGGTCCTACAAAGTTCTGGGTTATTTCATTTTTACTCTGGAATTGACATGCTGTTAATTCAATGGTCTTGTTCTAGAATCCTCGTGGAAGAGTGTGAAACAGAGAATTGGAGAATGTGTTTGTAAAAGTAATATGGAGCCATGCAAATTTCTTTAACATACCACCGCAGTCCTGGTGGGGAGCACAGGTGTGCAGTTACTCACAACTCTCCCAGCACAAGTGAGATGCAAAGGAGCAGACACCATCCCTGTCTCTGACATCACAAATCCAACTGGCACGGTCTTCAGAGCTGTGAAAATACAACAGGAGAATACACCGTTCTCTTCCCTGGAGGAGTGGTAAGAGGCTGAGAATCTGGGCTTTTTGTTGGAAAGACAGATAAAAGACAAAGTCAAGGGAACATTCCGTTATTTTGCAAAATGGGAGAGAAAAAAAATTTAAAAGTTGGGAGAGAATACTTAGGAAAATGGGGGAGGAAAATAACAGAATCTGGTGTGTGACTGCTTTTTTTTCCAAGTTATTTGCTGCATTCTGAAGCTCTGCAAGGAAAGAGGATAAAATTCCAAGTAAAAAGCATCTAAAAAGCAAAAATGTTGGCAGTCTAGTCAAATGAAGAATATAAGCAGATTCATAGACCTGCCTGGGAAAGAAGTCTTAGAAGACACACAAGGTTTCAGATAAAATCCCAGGGAACTAAGAATGAGGCTTTTTTAAATTAATTTTTTTATTATTAGTTGTTCAAAACATTACAAAGCTCTTGACATATCATATTTCATACATTTGATTCACGCGGATTATGAACTCCCATTTTTACCCCGTATACATATTGCAGATTCACATCGGTTGCACATCCACTTTTTTACATACTGCCATA